ACAATGCTATAAAAATTTGATATTTTGGTACTTGTAGGATATTTCAGAAACTAGTTTTAGGATACAAGCAACTAAGAAATACAGATTTCAATTTTTATACTGCCGAAAAAAAATAATGCATTATAATTACATCATGATGTAGTGTAATAAAGTGTTGTATTTGTATCATGGTGTAAATAAAAGTAGTGTATATACTATGTAAATAAAAAAAAACCATGGTGCATTGCATTATGTACATGAAAATAGTATATTATGTCATGATGTAAATACTCTGTTAATCACAACAATTTTCAATATGCGACTATTCAAAAAGCATTCAAAGTATTTCAACAAAACCGTAATTCTTTTTTTCCCAATAAATTCCATATGTATATTACAATACAATATCAAAAAAAAACAAAAAAAAAAAAAAACTATTTTACAAAGTCTTCACATGTTGTGACTTCAAATGCAATTGAAGTTATGCTAGCCACATAATAGTACATCGGATGTATAATTTAAAAGGCGACGGTCGTCTTGCCTTGTCACGTTTGATATTTGACTCGTACTGATATATAAAATGAGTTAAAATACATTGTTTACACAATTCCTATATGCGTGGCACGACGATCCCCCATCTTTAACAATTGTATACAACATTGTATCTGATATTATTATTATTCAAGGTGCTGTATATTTTTTTAATTTTATGTTTATGATTTTATTGTTCCATGTCTCTATTTTAATATTTCACAGCTGTATATTTCGAGGCATTGTTTATTTTTGTCTGCAATTCTGAAGTCAAATGTTTTTATTCAGTTGAGAAAAACCTAAAAAAAATTGTTTTTGTGTTATTTATATCATAGACACTCTGGGGTTGATACAACCTTTTTATCAATTCTGATGACAAAATACCCAGTAGCATATATACTTGTCTCCGGTAATCAAGAGTTTTTTGTTCTGTGAATTATAAAATGCTGCAGTGTGTTTACAATTTGCCATGACACACAAATAGGTGCTTCAGAAACAGGGCTTCTAAGTTGCATATATTGAAACGAATAATGTATTTCAAAGTATTTGAATAAAATGTATTTTTAAAAAAGTATTAAATAAATTCTGGTGCAATGAATATTATTTGAGTTTTTTTTTTTTGAAAATTGCGTCATGTATGTACATGCATTTATTTACCTATCTGCTGGATATATGTATACCAAATTTATTGTAAGTGAAAACGTGTTCACAGCACTAATAAGTCAATAAATTGGCACCATATGAGGCAAAAAAAAAACATATTTGCATATTTCATCAAGCTGTGTATAGGCCATAGACAATTTACTATAACCAGCATGAATGAAATCAACAATGAAGCCGACTTTTGGGAGGAGGATCTGTTGCCATTTCCATCACTCGCAGATTGTCTGCCTGATAAGTATAGTCAACTCTATTTTATCCCGCTGGTTTCCAATTTGTCTGGTTGTTCAGTATTCATTATGTTTGCTGCCCTCAGCGGTATTTGAAACGTGACGCAGATTTTGTACCGTAGAGGGAGATGTTCACTGGATTCAGTTATTAGCGGATTTGATATTGCAAATTCCTCGGATATTCACTAGGTAAGTTCAAAGGTTTGTGAGGGAAACTATGTTCTACGTTGCCATGAGTCCCATGTCGAACAGGACGTGGCGTGACGAACAAAACTTCAAATGTAATCATAATACACATGCAAATAAACAATGGATTTTGGATTTGTTACAAAAAATAGCCGAAATGCTGTGACACTATTTAATTGTATTGGGAATTGCCCAGCCAGTTTATCAAATTGTGAACAAATATTTTCGTAAATATTACTGACCGCGAAAGGTGCCCATCGCGAAGTGTCTTGTTTATATACAGGGTCAGAGTACCTTTGATAGGGTATATAATTGGGTATTGTTTTTATTTGTAGTCATGAAATATATTCAACCGATGAACTGATGAATAATAATAATACAATTCTAAAATAATCAAGAACAGTTGAATATAAAATAATCTCAACAATGAAGATGAGAATGAAACACAAATTTGGACATTCGAAAACAAACTGTCCGATTTGGAGCAGACGTTTGAGCTTATCCCGCACCACGCATGATATCCAACTCCATCAAGGTAACTCACAGATGTATCATGTAGATATTAGTTATCCTTGTAAAACAATAATTGTTTTGGGGTTTTATGACTTTTTTTGTTTTTCAATAAATTTTCGTTCCGTTTTCGTAAATTTTACCTCAAGTAGGGATAGACTAGCAAAGTCGGGACTTCTTCTCTGTTTTCCGAAAAAAAAAAAGTAATTGTCAATTTAGCTTTTTTAGCGCGATCACACTAAAAGGACTTAAGGTAGAAGCCTAGTCATAATTTTTGACAAAATTGGTCATAAATCACATGACAATGTTCATTAGTTTATTATGTACAATCATGAAGCTAATGTCCCATGGTACAATGAAATAGCATTATTTTGTGTGTTACAGTTATGCTTTTTGAGAAACGTGTCCTAATATTTCTTGAAAATTGCTATTTTTAGAACAATTCCATAGAACACAATGTTAAAGAAAAATTGCATTTCTTGACACTTTTTAAAACCCAGATTTTTTAAATAATTCAGAACAACAAATAGTACTCCATCATTAACAATATATAATTTTTTCAGCCTATGTCACCAGGCTAGATTTTGAGATATTGCATAATATCTCTGCCATAGGAACCTATGGTAAAAGTGTTATATTAGTGTCAACTTTTTTTAGGTCAATATCCTTATATTGCCTTGGAGTACAATTTATTGCAAAATGAATAAATTCTGGGTTTTTTAATTTATGAGAAGGCTTCTACCTTAAAACAATTATTTCTTTTTGCCAGTCAAGTCAGGGTCGAGTGTGGCAAATGTTGAGAAGTTCAAACTCCATCTACTTTAAACAGCGCCACCTTTGTTGAAATAATTACACACTTTCGTTCAGTTACTTCCGCCATATTTATTTTTGGTGAGCGTTTGTCGAAGTCGAGTTCTCCTGACCTCTTTTTAAAAAAAACATGACGTACATTGTTTCGTGGGAAGAATTTGCCAAAGCGGCGGAGAGGTTGTATTTAACGGATCCAGACAAGGTATGTGAGCTAGATTAATTCATAAATTGGCTAAAGATAACGTGGTAAATAACAACAAAAAGAATCGAGTGGAGGTGGTCGTGTTGCATTCTAGTTTTAAAACAGCTGTTTACATGTTTAAGGCAGCACATTTTTAAACTTACAACGGTGAGTACTTTAGTCAAAATTGTAGATATCAGAATTGAATTATCATATTTCATTTAAACAACCGCAAATTCACGTCGTTACTAACACTTGAAGGTAAACCATGCAACCGCGGGCACAGCCGATTTCAATGGCCTATAGACTGTAGTCAAATGGGACGAGTACATATTTGATCCATACTGGACCTACACATGTATGCCACCGGAAACTGGTTTACCAACTATAGTACTATTGCAACTTTACATGTACGGTTTTAATAATGTACATGACGTGTATTTTATACTCAAATTAATGCAATATTGTAAGTAAAGCTGGTATTGAAAACAAAGACATCACACATAGGAACAATTCCCTCATTGTCAGCTGCATGACCATGGGACTTGAATTAATTAATTATTCCTAGGAGTTTTAATTGCACTATTATCTTTGAAAAGTAAAAGTAACAATATATAACTAGGAATATCCTCCTAACAGTGAAACTAAATGACAGTAAAAATGGTTTGACTGGTACATGTACTAGTAGTTTGCAAATTTCTTTTAACAGATTACAGACACGAGTGGTTGTGGAGCTGGTATTGTTGTTATACAGTATGTCTGACCATTGTAATGCTTTTTAATTTCACAAAACACAAGTGTTGTATATTTATTAATGTAGATTCATTTAAATTGAGAGCATCCTGTACTTTCAACAAAGGAAAACAATTCTTTTTGTTTTTAATAATATTCATAATTTAAACTGAAATACATTTTGTAGTAGGTGTGTTTGATTACCAACCTTGAGGTACCAAGGTACTCGGTCAGATAGTTTTCAACTGTTATTTTAAAGCAGTATTATCTAATATATTTTGTTTGTAACATTTGACTATGAAGTATCATAGTATGTGCCGTAAACCAAATGCAACAATTATAGTATTCTGAATCAGAAATTGTTGCAAACAACCGAACATTGCTGAGAATATATGTACTAGTAGATGTGGCTGTGATTGAATTTTTAGCAGCTTAAGATATAAACAAGTCCATCATATTCCACACACAATCAAAGTCTTTCTAATGCAGTCTCCGTTATTATTTTTAATTCGATAAAAATCGAGCCAGGGGATTTGTTTGATGAACAGCTACATCTCACGTTGTCCTGTCTTTTTCTTTCTAAATTTATACATGTTACCGGTAACGATTTCATAATGGCCGTTTCCACTACATCCGAGTGAACATGAAACATTTCATACATCCTGGTCTAGTTGCGTTGAGGACGTTCTAAAGCAGGATTCAAAACTTCACTGCATGTCCAGATTTCAGGTATTCCAGATAAAAGAAAAAAATCGGTCAGACTCTGGCGTGCATTAACTCATGAG